ACAAATTCCACACCATCGACAGAATGTTTCATGATAAACAGTGGATTTCTTAGTCATGACTTAGAGTCCTGATGATTGGTTTATTCAACGTAATTTCTCCTTATTCACAAACTTTTAATTCTTTTTTTCTGTCCTAGTCTTCCGAAGCCTCAAATTGTCAAGAAAGCTGTCGCTTCTCGGCCGTCATCCTCTCGCTCCACAGATGAAGAGATCCAAGGTTCCAAAGATGCTCTCATCCAGGATCTGGAAAAGAAGCTACGTTCAAAAGAACCAAGGAGAAAAAACAGTCAGGTATGTGTTGTTTTTTCTTTAAAAAAAAAATTGGGGCGGGAAAAATATACACACACACACACACACACACACCGATTAACAAAGATGGTTATTTTCGGGCAGAAACTTTCTTATGAGGAGCGCATGGCTCGACGACTGCTGGGTCCAGACAACGCCAACTACGTGTTTGACCAAGACAGTCTTTCAGACTCACAACTTGACCAGGTGCCATCACAAATCACAAACTGTTGCCACCGACTTGAACAACACAACAATGTCCTGAAATGATGTTCAGTCGCAAATTAAGGGCGCTAAAGAATGAGTTAATCATGCTGACACTGTATTGTACGGCGCTTGTTGCCAGTGCTTGACGAATACAGTGCTAGCAAAGTGCTCCATACAGGCTGGAGTAAGCCATCGGGTTATTTTATTCACTTTGATTGATGAATTAACTTTGAGCTGGGGTTTTTTTTTTTCTGTTACAGCCAGATTCGCCAGAAGGAAGACACACTGGTGGGCTATGGTAAATATGTTGTCAATTAAATCGTTGGAAACTGATTTAGTAGTTATTGGAGAAATTGCATGGGATGGAATAATGCCTTCAGTTCGGGTGTGTATGACGAGTGCACAGGGTGGTGGAGTTAAGGCCAAGTACTTTGAGCTCAAAAATTCCCAATACGTAGCAAAACACTAAAAAGATTGGCAATCGTTATTGCGGCCTCATACCAAAAATATTTGAAGGGTCAAATCTCAGCTCAAGAGTGAATGTGAATGGTTGTCTGGAGCTAAATTAAAGTTCAGTCACGTGATCATGAATGTCATTCTTAGATTTGAATTAAGGTACAAAAAAAATTAAATACCGGTAAGAGCAAATCTTAAATGCTGTGTAGAGCTGTTAAATCTGTCAAACAACGTCAAATGGATGGATCCAGGGATGCGGCATGAAAATATATGAGCTAACAAATAAAACTCTCATGAATCCAACATTTCTCAAACAAACCAAAACTTATTGGTGTATCAATCCCAAAGCTAATGGAGTTACAAAAGAGGACACCACTGTGTGTGTTTGTTTGTGTGTGTTTAGTTATATGCAAGTGAAATCTACTCACTGGATGGTGAATCACAGGGATCACAAATAGTGGTTCTCCCCCTTGCAGGGGGAAGCACCACAGTGGGACAGATGAGCGGGGGAACGAGGAATCCGCTATCCAGGAGAAATGTTACGCCCCTCGCTTCATGCAAATCCCTAAAGACCTCACTGTGGAGGAGGGCCGATTCTGTAGAATTGACTTCAAGGTGAGACATGCAAACACCCATTGAACGTGTCACTTTTCAGAAATGGTGGATACAAACTATGGGCGTCAAGAAACGGTAGCAAGACTTTTTTTTGTTGTTTTTTTTTAAATGAGCAGATGCAGTGTTCTGACGTGCAAGTAAAATACTCTTCACTCATCTGATTCAGGTTGGAGGACTCCCGACACCAGATGTCTGCTGGTACTTGGACGGTAAAGCATTACGTCCGGACGACTACCACAAGATGCTGGTTTGCGAGAAAGGGATGCACTCATTCATCATCGAGATTGTCACCGTGCACCATGCCGGCGTGTACGAGTGTGTGGCCAGGAACCGTGCAGGAGAATGCAGATTTACCTTGAGGCTTGATGTCATAGGTAAAATGGCATTACATTCTTCAGTAGACATTGAAAAGACAACCGTGGGAGGGTGTGTGTGTGTGTGTGTGTGGGTGGAGGGGTGGGGGTTGGGGGGGCATCCTGAAATATAAATTCAAATCTTCCTTTGAAGTGAAATGAAAAAACAAATAATGCGCACATATTTATAAATGATACACATCATGATATTACTTTGTGTCCATTGCCTTAGAAAGTTTTGTACCCTCTGACTTTTTCATTGCAAAATGCAACTGTTAGGATTAACTTTATTTGGAGCAGCTACTAAACGTATTTCAACTGCGTCTCCCATTTAAATGAAATCCATTATCCACGAATTGTTTTCACTCTATAGCCCAAGAAGCTCTTCGCCCGCCCTCCTTCATTCAAAAGATGTCAAACTTCAGAGCTCTCGAAGGTGACACTGTCAGGTTAGAATGCAAGGTGGACGCCTCGCCTCCTCCTCAACTCTTCTGGAAGAAAGATAAAGAGATGCTACGCATCGATCCAACCAGGATGAGGTGAGCTCACTCAGTACCTTCTCACTAGACCTCCACATCAAACCGGATCCAAACGTTCCCAAGTGATGTCTCAGTCCGTCTCAGTGTTCACGCATTCGTCTCTTGACTGTTGACTACTCTTGTCATGTTTGTGCAGCCTGTACCAAGACGGCTCGGGCAGGCAGTGCTTGTTGATAGAGAGGGTGACCAAGTCCGATGCGGGGTGGTACACACTCTCTGCTATCAATGAGGCTGGCCTGTCGACATGCAACGCCAGGCTGGATATCAGCTGTAAGTCCATTGAACTTTCTTCCTCTCTCAGTAGTTACCAGGGTAGCCCCAGTTGGGCGGTACAATCAAAGCACAGATGGAGGATGCCCTGCACTTAACGCCAGACCGCACTCGATTCTCAAGTCTGAAAGGCATAAACCAAACACCGCATGACACCATCAAACAGAGACCTAATTGGGCACATGAGCTATTGCTCTGGATCGTAAAAGGCTGCATGTGGGCCACAAGTGTAAACGTTAGCTCCATCCATTGGAAAGAGGCGGCTCACTGGAGCAAAGTACAAGGGGGATATTAGGTTTCTGCTCGATGACATAACCCGCACACCACCTGCTCGGTGTGCTGGTTGACGGCTTACACGGCAGAGAAAGTGACCTGCCTTTTGTTTTGCGTGTGCTCAAGTGTCATTTGATACAAGTTGAAAGCCTTCTTGCATTGATCAAGTGGAGTTGGACCCATTTTGGGATTCAAATTATTATGGGTGGTTCTCAGAAAGTTGAGAGCTGTTCGCTTTGCAAAATCCGAAATGCCTGCAGCCGAACGTTTTATTTTATCTCTTCAATATGATTGCGTCATTGTAAACGGTGAAATCCAGTGATTCATTGTAAACAGATTTTTTTTTAACATGTTCCCTCATACTAGTCTACCGAGGTGAAATACTGTAGTGATTCACTTTTACCACATGCAGTGATGTATGTGTGCAACTGCTTTTAAGTGAATAATTCACTTGGTCTTGGTTAAAGTAAAGCTGTAGTTCTCACCACACCTGACGTCGACAGTATGCCGTTTAATATAGGAAGTCCGTATTGCAAAGCGTTGATTTATAAGGAGCCGTATGTTATGTTCATAGCGTACAGTACATGTGACAGTTGAGGCGCCCAGCCTGTGCTGCTCCATATTGTGTGGAGGGGAAGAGTTATTTTCAGGCTCCTGGCATGACAGGAATGTTAACTCCTTCACCAACAACCCCACCTCTGTTGATTGCACTTGAATTTCTTTAATCGCATTTTGAAATGACTAGTCGCATAAATTCTTTGTTCAGAGAATTATAACTCAACGTTTTTAATCCTTTTTATGTCCTTGCGAGGCCGAGCAGTCCCACCCATGAAGACTGCGCCCCCTGGCTCCAAGGCATTGAACCTGTTGTCATCTCTGAGCCATGTGCCCGCTGTGACAGCAGAGCCCCCCGTGCAGCACACTGCCCCCCTCTATGAGAGCGAGGAACTGTAGAGCCTTGCGAAATACACGCACGCCCACACCTCAGAACTGTCGAAGCACTGACGCGGTATTTTAGAATGTTTGTGTTCCTGGCATAAGATGAAGTTTCGCTATCGTGTGTGTTCAGAAGTTAATCTTGGAGTCTTGATGTTGTCCGTGACTGCATTTACTGTTTCAGGCTAAAGAGCTAATGTTGGAATCAATGTCTAAGCCTCGCGAGCCATCATGGCGTCTCTCAGCAAAATGGTACGTTGAGGTCGCTTACTGTAAATGTATTAATAGTTGTGACAGTTGGTTCGGGTGCCTCTCGTGTCCTAACACACAGTTTACGTGGAAACATTTCCTCATCAGTCAGCATCATGACGCTCATTTTGCATAGATTAGCTTGATTAAGAAACGTAAGATTTGACCTCAGCCACTTGTCAACCTTCAAGACACCCTCTATCTAAAATTTGAACATTGTACCCACTCACTACAGAATCTACCCACAATACAGAACCGCACTTTAAGTCCTCCCACCAGTCTCCTCTCCTCCAATATGTCAAGTCACTGGAAATTGAAATATTTATTGCATTTCGCAACCCTCTGTCACAACCTTCACCATTCAACATACAGTATTGTTTGATTTTAAAGTTGATTGCTAATATGGCGTGTATGTGAATGATGATATTTATTTTAAGATTTTAGTTACCGGTATCTGTGTTGCTTCTCTTGCCTGATTTGAACCCGGTATGTTTTGTAGTTGAACTGCATCATCAGTGTTTCTCCACACATGAAAGCAAATCTTAGCATGTGGTTTACCCGAGCACCAAGATGAAGACTCTTGACAAAATGTTAAGGTGCAGGAAGGAGTGTTTTCTCTTGAAACACTATTTGTGGTGTCGGTTGTTCAGCATAGCAATGTATGAATGCGGAATAAAGTCACTATCAACATTGCTTTACCTTCTGTGATGTGTACTCTTATGTTATGGTAGTTTGAAATCGGGGTCACTGACGGTGCAATGGGACACTCGCCTGCCTTGAGAGCGGGCAGCGTGGGATTGGTTACCAAAAAAAGTGGACATGATCCTTTTATTTTAACAAAAAATGCTGCAAAAATATCAAAAGCACAAGAATCTGGCTAAAAAGAAGACTGGATTGCATCAGCCAACCAAGTTTCATAGTTTACAAACAGTGAATCACTGACTTACCTAAACTGCTGCACACGACAGTCCTTACATATACCAGATAATGTTTTAGTGTAATATACAGTGACATGTTCACTTGTTACACTGCTGTAGAATCCAGCAACAAACGGAAGTTAATGTACTACCAATGAGAACAGAAAGGCACATGAGAAATGTTTATGTCAGAGGGAATTGACACTGTAGCATGTTCGGACTGTAAAAGCATCTTGGGCATGAGCCTTCCAGATGAATTAGATCAACTATTTCACCGGCAACTGCTTATTGTTAAGGTTGTGCCCAAACCTTACAAATGAAAAAAATGAAGCATATCAGGTGAGTGTCTCTCAGTCAAAGTATGAACAAGATCACAAAAGACACATTTAAAAACTGGGCAAACTACAGGCGAGTTCTGATGAAAACAGATATACAAAACATTGAAACTAGGAATATTTTTAAATGTCCAGATATTCAGTGTGTCCATCATAATTGTCAGTGACCTAAAAAAGGCAGGAGGCGAACCGCTGGTTATAAATCGCCCCAGTCCTTCAAAGCAGGTCAAATTTCCACATCGCTTTCTTTGTCATTGTCATGATCGCCATCGTAGAACTCGTTCGCTGCTTCCGGCCTGTGGAGGAGTGACAACAGGAACGAAACTTCAGATGTGTGTTTCATGAATGCACTTGTACTTGTCAGCGTCGTAGTTGAAGTGTGTTCTGACCGTGTGTAGTTTTCCTCGCCTCCTCTCTCATCGGGGTCAGCCTCATCGGTGCGTTCGTAGCTCATTATGTCCGAGGGGACGTCGTGGATCTGAACGCTGGGAGCGTGGTTGAGCATCTTCAAGTTCTCAAACACCGTCTGACGGATCTGCTCCAAATACTGCGCCCGCCAACCCATTCAAGATTGGCGTGGTTACATGCGGAAGACGTGCTTTGAGATAGATGCTTGTTAACGCCCTAACACCACAATAATTTTGTTGGATTTTTCACCTGTCGGGAGTTCTGGTTTTCTATCCTGGTGCTGACGTCAGGATGCAGAGTGAAGTCGGGAGCAAAGTACTCAAAGTACTCTGGAAGACATGTTGAAAGCGTCGTAACATCATCCCCCGGATGCTGACTACATCATGGCTACATGGCTTGTCCACTAGCTGGCGCCAAAGTCGAATAAATGCCCTCAACGCGTTCTTGCCGTTGTAATTCGAAACACATGAAGTTGCAACATCTCACCACTGTAAGGCAGCTCGTCGCTGATCGATTCATCCAATAAGAGGGACGTCTCAAAGGTCCTGGAATGCAAAGCAGAGTTCAAGAGTTTTTAGATTTCATGTACTTTTTGTAGGATGATCTGTGACCTTGCTTTTTATGATCACTCCAACGTATGTGGACAGGACTTCATGACTTACGACTTAATTGACAACTTACCAGCATCGAGCCACATTCCGCACTGTGTATCCGCCTCCGCCCAGGACCAAGAGAGGAATCTTGAAGCTCTTCACAAACTCTACGCACTCGCTGCAAAACACTTGGACTTTGAAGGAATAGGAATACGAAGAGGTGCAATAAATAACTGTTGGACTGTTAGAATACTAACCCGTGTCCTCGTATGCTGAGGTTAAAGCAGCCCAGCCTGTCGCAACCCAGAGAGTCTGCTCCACACTGAAAGGGCAATTTTGGTTCTGCTTCAGCAAATGTAAAACTACGTGGATGATAGTCCAGAACTTTATGTATTCATCAAGCAGGAGTTGTGCAAGACTTCTTAAGTGTTCCAAATGTTTTGCAAAGATTACAAAAAAAAAAAAAAACAACTTTCGTGATAAGGTTTAAGAGTGCATCGTTTTCGGGTTGTCCATCTGTGAGATGCTAATTAGGTGTTTGGCCTACCTGTAGAACAATACACGTCGGCTGATAGAAATCCACCACCTGCTTAATAACCGGCTGGAAAAGTTGCCTGTAACCTAACACGCACACACAAAGATAGACCGACATTCACACACAGTCAAATAGCATAACTGCAAAACAGATTGATTTCTGCTGGGGACGGTGCGGAACTCACTCTGGTCATCAATGCCGTCCCTGAGAGGAACATTGAGGCAGTAGTAGCGGCCACTCTCGGCTCCGACCTCATACATGTCACCTTGGACGACACATGCAGTACGCATCATGATTCCACACTTGCAGAAAACAGACAAGCGCACGGTTTCAAAGCACCGCATTGCCCTTGTGATGACTTTTTGTCGAGACAAAAAAAAAAAAAAAGCCAAAGAAAGATGGAGTCTGCAGACACAACTGCAGAATCCATAGCGTTTTCTTACGCTACTTATGGTCTTTGAATTATTTCACTGAATATACACGTAATACAATTCGACCTACTTCTTCAATACGTTTTCAAAACAGGAAGTCGGATTTTCTCTAATCCACACACATGGTCCAAATTACACATCGAGGCTCAAATACATCCTGTCAAACTCGAAATTATTCATCGCCCTGGGCTTCTAGAATGTCTTGTAACTTCTCAGGGACAAAAGAGTCTTCTTATCCCCCCTCCCCTCCCCTCCCTGAGGATTCTGCAGCATTTAATCATTTCTGAGAATGCTAAAACAGAGTGCTCACCTGTTCCAGGGAAAAAGTAATTCCCATATTTGTGGAAGGACACGGTCATGACACGATCGGTAAGGTAGAAGGCTTCTTGCACGCCATCGCCGTGGTGAATGTCTATGTCGATGTACAGGACCCTGGGATGGTATCTAAATACATAAACACACACACACACACACACACACACACACACACACACACACACACACACACACACACACACACACAGGACTGTGTGTAGAGCGATATGGTAGAGCAATCGGTAACATCCCGTTGTGTGTCGTCTTACTTGAGAAGCTCCAGTATACTGATGACTATGTCGTTGACGTAACAAAATCCCGACGCCTGCAAACGCAACAGAAACACCTTTGCTCAGCCAATAAATAACTAATACATGATAAAAACAACTACAAAAACATGTCCGACGTGCACTTATTCGAGAGAGCAAAAATGAAAAGTTCTGTCTTTACAAAGGCAATCATGCGCTCTATTGATTTGAATAATCACAGTACAACAAGAACTATGTCTTGTTCAACGAATCTGACAATGGTAGTCAAAAAACGGGAATTATTAGAATGTCAGATGTCAGTCGCTTTTGTGCGCATGTGTGTTCTGACCTCAAACTTTTTAGCATGGTGTAATCCTCCGGCCCAGTTGATAGCGATGTCACAAATCTGGAAGGTAACGTAAGGCGCCATCAAGAATTACAATGATTGAAAAGCAACACTGTGAGGTCGATACGTGCTCATGAAATAATGTCCATTTACCGGTATACATTTTATATAATTGTGTGGTGTTACCTTGTGATTGAGTTGAGTGGCGCCCTGCAACGAGGCTCCTGTATATCTGGAGCAGAACTCAAAAAGACCTGGAAAGACCGGACTGAGACACAGAATGACAGCCTCATAATTAGGCAAATCAAATTGCAGAGATACACAAATATTTCGAAATGGCAACTACTTGGCGAGAAGTCACCGTGTGGTCCATACAGTGCAAGTCTAAGTCTGAGCAATATATTACTCATTATTTCTCCACCCTGGAGTGCATCCAGCCTCCAGGTTACCAGAGACCTGAGCGAGGAGTGCTATAGAAAGTAAACGGATGGATATTTCAATGGTTGGCTGTAAACACTCACCAATCATCCCCCACATTGAAAGTGTTGAGGCTCTTGGTGAAGCCCTGCATGTTGTTAGGGCTGACCTTCTGCAGGAAGTCAATGTAGTCTTCAGAATGGAAGCGACACATGTCGTGCTGTGACGCTTTGTATGGCTTAAACACCTGCAAAAATATTAAAGTATGATATACTTTAATGGTTCAAAAATTTTATACTTTTTATATGTTGTAGCATGCAGTTATATAGATACTTTTACCATGACATCATATGTCGGTCGATGACTGCCGTGGTATTATACTGTATTAAATGTACAAGCACGACAGAAATGTCGGATTCTTTGTTGACTACAATGGCAGCTGACTGCCATCAAACTCATGGCTATGTTGGGCAAAGTCAATGCCATTTTAATTTAAGTAAGCCATGCTCATCCCAAGTCATTACGTGAAAGTCTTTGTTTTAAATCCGCTTGTCTTCACACAGCTTGGTGGTGAGAGATATTTGAATTGTCGAGCGATCACGGTTGTTTATGACAGGAAATGTCATCATGTTGTGTCTTACCACAGTGTAAGTTTTCCTCTACTTTGTCAGTTTTTAAACCCTCATCTGAGCACATATAAGGAGATGAAAACAAGCGGGAGTGGACCTACAAGTCCCCCATGGTGGGTAAAAAAAACGTTGGTCAAATGATCAAAAGCTCTCTATTGTAAAGCTGAACTGTTGACCTCACCATCATTTTCTTATAAAGTCCGTAGTGCAGCACCAGGCTGTGAGTCAGGGACAATCGGTGAGGCTTCATCGGATGACCGGCACCTTATTTCGGGGAGGGGAAAAAAACATTTCAGCGATATTGCGTGTGAAGGTTGTGACGATGAAAGCTTCAAGCTCGGGTCCAACTGGGGTTTAGGATAAGATTCTAAATTTGCAGTTAAATGCTCATCTTTTAAAAATAATTTCAAACGGTAAACAAACTGTATGAGATGAAACATTTTACAAAACATTAGAGCAAATAAGTCTCAAGGACAACAGCAGGGCTCACATTTTAAATAAACACGCGACTAAATACTCGAGAGAAGCGAAGAAAATCTACAGATATGATGAGCATCCATTGCATTTTGTCGGCCCGCTCATCAACACAACCAGGTACTCACCGTAATGAAAGTTGCCCACGTCGGGGTCATAGAAATATGACGTCCTGTTCGTCATTCTGAGAGATGTGCTGTTTTTCTAGATTCGTTGCCGCTGAAACTGCTACAAAAATGACATTTTGTCTTTCAGTTAGCAAAGGTAGCCGCTGCCATGGTAAAAACAGAGTGTGTTACGTCATCAGACAGCGACAACCACGACAGAGAAGGGCGGGAAGAGTGACGAGCCGAGGGAAATAATCATAGATTTATCAAGCTAAGATTCATACAAAGGTGGCAAGAGAACTTCTGTTATCTACTAATAAAGAGTGACAAAGGTTTTTTGTAAATTTCGAAATTCTGATTAAATTTATGCACTTATTTGGGTAAAAGTAAAACCAACACCCTCGGAATGTTCTTAAATTTAAGTTGTAGTAACTTTTAGATTGTCCAAGTAAAAGGAGGTTTACTGTAAGGATTACACGCCCGTTTTGCTAAAAAAATTTAAAAAAAAACTGCACAAAAAATAATGTCCTTCTTTTGCTACCTTTATATTTATAGTATATGTTTATTTTTAAAGTGTGTTGACATTATGAACACAAACATCGATTGGCTGTTCTTAGACTCCCATTACCAGGGTAAATTTCTCTCTTACCTCCATTATCCAGGAAATAAGGATGTTGTGAACCACAATTTGCATTGGTGCTATTCTTGTAATTATTATGAATACTGTATTCATGATGAGATGTGGAAAAAAAAAGCAGATTGATTGGATTTTAATCACAGAATAGTGTTGAGATAAAATGAGAAACGCAACAGAAACCGGGTCTTTGCGCTCGACTAATGAAGCATCCACTCTCTGCCGTCCCAGGATGCACCTGCATGCCCCTTTCCCTTCCACTTTGGCTCTATGCAAATGAAGTGATCAAGTTTCACTTCTCTCAAATCACGCTGAGCTCAATCTGGTCCATCATTCCAGAAACAAGTAGTAATGTAACTCATAGGAGAACATTATGGTGAGCAGATGAGGACAGAGTAGATATTCATATGCAATCTTTATGAACAAATAACTGTACATGTAAAGTCAGTCAAAGATGGGAGAATTAGCAGGATTCTTGCTTTAAAATGAGCAAATAATACCTGAAAGTCTGAGCAAGGTTGTTTGAAAAAGAAAAATCAAACACACACCCTCAATTGTCTGGCATTCAATATTCAAATAATGACTTTTATTTTATGAGTAAGATTTTTTTTTTTCCCAAAAAATGATGACCTATCAAGAAATGTGTGCTTTAGTTACTTCACGCATCTTTGCATCAAACATCCCTGGAGACAAATAGGATTCTTGGTTTGACAATTTACTGATACCCATAAAATCAAATGAACATGCTCGCTTTCAGATGGGCAAATTTTTGCTGAAAGTTTAATGCTTTTATGTATTTCATGGAAAGTGAGCCATGGACGTGTGTTCTCACTTAATAAATGCCACTAAAATTTTTGGGATTACATTTTATTTGATGAAATGACGACTTGAGAAAAATGATGTCTTGGATTTGTTGCGCAATCAGATTTCAGCTTCAACGTGCTGTCAAGCCTATCTAGTAGTGTTGCCTGGTGTAACTTAAAGGCAAGGCAAGGGAGCTTTATTTTATGAAGCAAGGTAACTCAATGTGTTTCACATGATTAAAAGTAATTTTAAAAACATTTACAGCTAAAAGAGTTAGATGTTTAAAAGAAAAGTAAAGAAATAAAATTAAAATAACAAAAGGAAAGTACAGTTGCAAGAACAACATTTTGGAGAGATTGATTTTAAAAATATTTAAAAAGACCTTAATCAAAGAAATGGGGATTAAAAAGTATAGTTTTTCACCTGGATTTAAAAGCATTTGCACTTGGGTTGACATCACTAATGGAGACAGCCTTTTCATTTGTGTGCAGCATAACAGCGAAAAGACAAAAAATAAATAAATAAATAAATTACTATCCTAAAAAAAATTAAGTAAAGTAAATTCGACACACCAACAGAGAAAAAAAAATTGCCAAGTCGGTTAAATGATTCTTGAAAAATCAAACCATGGAAAATGGAAAAAAAGTAATGGCGACTCACACTTTAAACATTGTACCTCCACAATTCTGAGCTACACAGTCCGCAGTCTTTGTACATTCCAACATTTGAAAAATATTTAGAAACATATTTATGATTTCACTGTACAGGACACTTTCATTTCATTTTCAATGAACTCTTCAATGTCAGCATTTCACTAGGAAAATATCCCCACATTAATTCATCTCTGGTGATTAAAAAAAATGAATGGGTTATGTTTTTTACCATGTTAACATATCAATTATTGCTTCTAAACAGCTCCAGACGATGCACCTTTGCATGCGTTTTACAGTATATCGTTTTTTTTGTGTCGCATTGGTGGTTTCTATCATTTTGATGTGATAATGGTGGCATCAAGAGGTGGATAAGGTCAAGTAATCCTCCACTAAAGGCCCGCACACCAACCGCACAGCCTACCGCTGAATGAATGATCGCTGACGTGTGAAGCTCTCCAGCACTTCCTCTCCGGCCCTTTTAAAAGCCGCCGTACCATTCTAGCACTGCTTCATTGACTCGCTCGCCTGACGTTTCCCCACGACCAGAAGACACCATGCTGGGGACCCTCTGCCTTCTCATCAGCGCGCTGACTTGTGAGACCCTCTCTGGTGTTTCTCCTCCATGTTGACATTTTTGAGTCAGGTGATAGCAGATTGTTGTTAATTCTGTTTTTTTTCCTTTGACAGATGTTGACGCAGCCAAGGTGCTGACCCAGACACCGGCAGTGCTGACAGTTCCTGTAGGACAACAAGTTGTTTTCAACTGTGACATCCAGAGGGACGACGGCTATGTTGTCAGTTTTTATAAACAGGTTCCCGGAGACGCTCCTCAGTTTGTGCTGTATTATTACCATACGCATTCCTCACCTTCCTTGGGAGGAGGATTCCCCTCAAGTCGTTTTGATGCGAAATCATCCTCCCCGACAAATTACAAGTTAATCATTAAACAGGCTGAGGTCGGAGACTCTGCTGAGTATTATTGTAGCACATGGGACAGTGCTGCTAGTGTACTCGTAGCACAGTGACTTTGTGGGTCGCAAAAACTCCCCATTCTTACTTCTGCTTTGAGTTGAGCCAACACGCTCTGCATCTGTTTCACATGGTGGATTCTTAGGAAGGGATTCTGGTTATGGGCCTATTGTTCTTAAGACAGCATCAAGGTTTGCAGTCCCAGGTGTTCCCTGCTTTCATGACCACAAGTCAGCTGGGATAGGGTCTAATTTACCCATGATGCAGGTGAGGACAAGCGCTGTAGAAATTGGACAGATGAATGGCTGGATGCTCCCATTCAAATGAAAATACACCTGTTAAATACAGTGTAAAACAATGTTAATACACAATTTTAATGATATCATTGATACAACAAAAGCTGTACGGATGTATCCATATCTAATCAAGGTGGAGAATTCAGAAGATGAAGATGGTAATCCCACCTCCTCAAAGCATTGTTTCTACAGGGCCAACATGTTGCTCTTTTAAGATTCACCTTCACGATGCTCCTCTAAATGGACATTTCCATCTCGGTGACCACTTGACTGATATTTTGACTTCCACCACCACCGGAGCAGAGATATGTGACAGAGGAATGAATATCTCCATCCAGAAGTATTTTCGATCAAAAGCAAATATCATGAAAAGGCCCAGCCCGTGAATGTTGTGGAGGAGTCCTCAGGCTCATCAGTTTTTGTAAGGCCGTGAAAACAAACAGAATCACTGTGGTATTCGGAGGAGGAACCAAGCTGTTTGTGACAAGTAAGTCCTTCAAATTCTCCTAATCTACTAATGTACAACATTTCCATACATTTCAGCAGGTGTTTTTTTATTTTTATTTTTTTAATCTTGTAGTTTAGGTTTACATGAGTACTATTTATTCCAATATTTCGCAGTGATGGCCACCAATGTCTTTTCTGACAGTGAAGTATACTTTTTTTGTTTTGGAATCAATCTCATCTAATATTAAACTTACCTTTTTTTAAAAATGGTCACCTTTTTTATGCACAATAACAATATATTTATTTTTCGATGTATCATATTCAATTATTTTGTTGATTTATATTTTATTTCGTTTAGGCGGCCTATATTTATGTTAGTTGTGTGGTTGCCTTCACTATATTCACAATAACATAATTATTATGCATGTTATTTTTAAAGATTTTTTTTCTTTTATATTTCATTATATACCTTTATATTTATGACTAAAAATATCAGAAACACTTCTCAGTATGATTCAGGGCACTCCTACATCAATGCAAAGTATTCCGATCAAGCTATTGTCAATGACAATTAAGCATGATTGAATACAGGGCTTTTTTTTTTCTTTTATAGTTCAGATCACTTTACTGTTTGGATTCATTGGAGCCAGGGATCCAAAACTGTGGGTTCTCCACATGTTTGTTGTAGTAAATTAATATACGTGGTGTTATTCATCATTCATTTTAAACAGATAATATATGTTGATGGGTTTGTATGACGTGATGTACAGTATTTTGGTATGTGTGGGTCGCTGGGTGGGCTTCTCTGCACCTTTGCAATACTAACACAAGGAAATGGATCTTAACCCTCCAGGCTCTGACCTCCCTGCGCCCGTGGTGACGGTATTTCCACCGGCCAGCGCCGAGCTTCAGTCCAAAAATGCCACCCTGGTCTGCGTGGCCACTCAGTCGTCTCCATATGCAGACGTCACATGGTTGGCTCACGGCGTTCCAGTGAGCGGTGCCATCACGACCGACCCCGCCGTGCGACAGGCGGACCAAAGTTACAAAATCAGCAGCTATTTGACCGTGGAGACTTCCGAATGGAACACAGACACCGCTTACACCTGTAAAGTGTCTTTGGGCTCCAAGTCAGCTGAAAGCACCATCAACAAGTCCAAGTGCGCACCCTAGACGGTCAGCATTTAGGTTGTGGGCTGATCAGGCCATAACAATGATTTGTTTGCATGCTTGTAGGGAGTGTTGACTTTTTCTTTCTGCTTTATACTTGCGAGGGTGTATTAGAATTCTTCAATAAAAAAAATGCCATCAAAGCTTTTTGGGGCCTGGTGATTACGTTATTCGGATTCAAGCGCTTCTTCATTTCTCCCCTCGCTGTTGCGTGTCCTGCCTGGTGTGTTCTGTAGGTGCTGTCCCCGAAGGCGAGCTTTCTGCAACACACTCAACTCAAACATGATTCGACACGATAATATAATTATTACAAAGTGTTTTTGGTGTAATGCACTAAACAAAACAAAAACTAAGCCTCAAAGGCTAACCCTTGAAAATATTTAATGACAAAACTATTTGTATTTTTTTATGATGACGATTCAATTGTTTTATTAATTATTCTTGAGAATGGTGACAATACAGAATAATTTATGAATACAGTCGTACCTGGAGATAATTGTGACCCGATTGACCACTTTTGAGACTCTATACCCAGCGCCGTATATAAACAGAGTTTGAAAACCCACGCAGGCGCACGCAAACTCGACACGGCTTCCTAGGCCGGGGCCCGGAATCGAACCCATGACCTCTGCGCTGCAAGGCGGACGTGCTAACCAGTCGTCCACCGCGCCACCGCCAAGTGGCATAATAGCATGAATTGTGAATCACATGTTTGCGCTTGACAGTTATAAAAATATTTTGCCCTTTGACAAAATGAAAGTGCCAGTACCAGTGGATTTCAATGCGACTCTTTTCTTGTTGGGATTATAAAAGGATTAGTGTATAAATCACTTGCATATGACAGCATGTCTCTGCAGGTCTTGTCGGGGGGGTGTGGAGCCATCATGCACCCAAAGCATTCGAGTACAGAGCCAAGTAAGAGTCTGTTTTTGAACACTTGCCATATTCTTGAAAATAAAATAAGATCCTTATTGGAATAAATGTAATTCTGTTATCCCATATTTACTCTCTGTGTAACTTTAAAACCTGTTCCAGAGTGAGATCTCGCAAATACCTCATTTACAATGGGGTAGGTTGATAATGGTCGACTTGTCGGACCGGGAGAGCTCAGGCTGCTCCTGTTCTAGCTTTTAAGATAATATCTTGTTGTTAAGTTAACAGCTTCTGATCAAATTAACTGTTGCTTGTGAGAAGATGACATCAACCCCAGGACACCATGTGAGGGACATCCCAAGCTGTGTACGTGGACCATCGACATCCACCAGGAGCCGTTTGACGATATCTCAGGAATGAACTGTGTGTTCTCATTGAAACTCTCCTTTACTGAAACTGTTGTGGAATGTGCAAATACTCCCCACACCCATTAGAAGATCGGGTATCAGGGACATCCTTCCATTAAATGCAAGGAGACAAACGCGGTCTCTTCAGAGTTGCCCCGGAACCTGTAACGATTTACATGGCAGAGCCAGCTGGAGAGCTGCTCCGAGATTGTGAACCGAGACATGTTTTAGCGCACTCTCTCTTGCAAGAAAGACAACCGTGCCGGCCTCCTGAGTCTTCCTGTTCCTGATGTATTATTAGCGTCAGATTACCAGAAAAACCTAACAGTCCTCCACACAAAGTAGCAAAAAGAAGGTAAGAATAGAAGACAATGAAAAAGAGAGCGTCAAGATAGCGTTCCCACAAAGCCTTAATTTCTGTGTTTCAGTTACACCCTTTACATTCGACTTCCTCTTCACTCTTTCCGTTGTGTGACTTAAACGAATGTGAGATGGAAGACCAGATGTGCCCATGAGGTCGACAAGCGCGGCTACATCGATGAAGTTATGTCTGCCAGAAGTCATGTGTGACTGCCTGTGTGCCATTGTGCGAAGGAAACATTGAAATCCTTGAGTAAAGCTTGAGGCAGTTGACTGTGACTCAAGGAATTAATTACAATTGATTTGCGTGGCCAAAAGTGATGGAAACAGACTTGATTTTGTTTTCACAGCCCGTGTGTCTTACCCCAACCAGATGCTTTGGCAAAGCTGTAGGGAACATCATTCCATTGAAGCGGTGTACCTGTCTGTCCTGTGTGTACAGTAATCTATTTGTAGGCGTAGTCGGGCCTGAGGTTTCCCACAAGAATATGGGTGCATCTCATACATACAGTAGCTCCAGTCTGAACATTCTCTAAAGTTCTGTATTTTACCAAAATAAACATGCCATTCGTTCAGATGGCCCAGCAGATGGCCCCAAACAAGAGCCGCATTTTAAGAAGTGCCTTCACTAAATCACTGGGCCAAATGTATTGTTCTATTTCACATATAAGTGATTTTGTGCTATTGCTTGGCTTGTCAGTGTTGATTCATCCTCTTAAGATTATGTTACTCAACTATCAAGGCTACGGGACATGCAAGTCTACTTCTTTTGTACAGTTGAATCTTCAACCTTGCAACACCGTGGCAAGTGACAGAGAGGCTGGCTGACACCATGTTAACCTTCATTTTACAGAATGTGTGTTGACTTGTTGAAATGTTTTGGAATTTCTGTATGCATGTTTCTCTCCCTCCTGCATGAGCGCTTGCCTGTGGCTAAATAGTAGTGCTGTTCTGAATTGGATGAGTTACATATATCCTGATGTTACCGTAAGGAAATTCTCTCATCAGATGCCGTTTGAGTCATCAGATCATGTTTTGAGGGTTCCTCTCATTTTAGGTTCATCTGAACTTTTAAAATGAAATCAAGGGTCAAGTCTTGACAAATAATTAGCAATAGAGAGAATTATCGAATATGCATCAGGCAGCATTTTGGAACATGAAATGGACTTCACTCTTTACTTTATATTCAATATCTTACTTAGCTTTTCTTAATGTGTTTAAAATAAAGCCACAAACAAGCTTTATTATTGCAATGACCATTTTCACAGCAGTCATTTTGACATAGTGAAACAATGTGGAAAGACATAAGCAGCAGCATTATGTGGTAGAAAACAGAGAATTTACACAAAATCTCTGTCGGGAGTTCTGGAGTGCTCCAGAACAAAAGCAGATTCCACAAGAGACACAGATAAGAGTTGACAAAAATGTTTATTAACAAAACACAAGACCGACAAAATACAACGAAAGATAAAACGACACAAATCAAAAACGCTTGCTCGATGCACCAATTTGCCTTAAATGATCAATTGTTCTGGATGCTTATAGCATTGCTAAAATTAATAATGACCTAACACATCTACAGAATACAAATTAGCACAGTTTGTGTGCATCACTCACACTCTCGTTTTCTTTCTCTGAATGTCTCACCCATATGAAGGCTTCATTATGACAATATAATGTCCAAAATGGTTGAAGTCAAAGTCTACTGTACTTCGTAGGAGCAATAACTAGTAACTGTTTGTGCCTGTACTGGGAAATAGATACCTGACCTTCTCAAGATGTAGAAGTACAGTTGTGCTCATACTATTTGTTGAGTACAAAAGTAGTACCACCCCACTGACAAGGCACTGTATCCATACAATAATCAATGCTATTTTCCCAGATGGAAATATTCCACAAGTCTCTCATGGGTCAAACAACCTGCAGTCCAAACAGCAGAGTCCAGAATGTTCCTCTGGCAATAGCCCGAAACTTCCATGGTGCCCTCCTCACCCGTGACATCACCCGCAGCTTGACATGTGTTAAATTGCAACACGTCATCATGTCATCATCAATATGTACTGCCTTGAAGAACAAACATCACCAGAGGAAGCTGTGCTACAGTGGCCTTCTGTGTGTATCAGATGTGTTTGTTTGCTTTTATCCCAATTCGACACCCTGGCTTTGCATGGGTGCGACTGAATGCCTGGTGGGCAATAGAGTGTGTAGAACTTTGCCCAGACTGTCCGAAGCTGATACTTATAGTGGATGATGAATGCGGCCAAATGCTGAGTTATTGGACTATAAGAGACTGTCAGACCCGATACAGGGAGTTTGAGAACCCCGAGCTAGAGGCCGACAAGGGAGCGCATTTTCACTCCTGTCCCATCCCAACCTCACGGATAAAAATCCTGTCCCGTCCCAGTCTCGGACCATAGTAATAAATAAAATATTACTTGATAATCCTGCTCCTGTCTGCCCCCTTTGACTTTTTATACTTTACCATCCCAATCCTGTAATTAAAGGTAAAATTGGCTCCCATGCTGTGAGAATCTCACCGGATTCCTGAAAAAATGTCAGCTTCTCCCCTAAGCTACAACGACAATTTATCCATTTATCCCCCCCCCCCCCCCCCCCCCGGGGGTTTCTAGCCCAACCAAC